AAAAAAAAAAAAAAAAAAAAAAAAATCCCTGGAGTTTAGTCAAAATCATACTACCACCCTCTTCACTAAAATCTAGTTAGAACAGGTGGGCTCAAAAGTATAACTTACTCATACCTGTGCCTCTACTCCCAACTCCCAACCTTCACTCACTCAACAAACACTTCATCTGATCCTAACATGTTAGATATTGTGCCAGGCGAGAAACACAAAAAATGAATAGGATATGGTCCCTGCCTTCAGAATCACCATTCACTGGGCGATGGGTTTTGGATCCAGCCACAAAAATTCATGGCATCAATGTCACACTCAGTCAAGCATCCTGATGGGGTCAGGGAAGCAGAAGTGGACAGAATATAGAAAGATAAAGTCAGACAGGAAAACAGAGTCAGCTGTGTGAGAATCAAGTGCAAGAGAAGACTTGAATTTTAAGCAATTTATATAGATGGTCATCCTAGGGGCACAGGCCTCTTTCCAGGACCCTGGGTTTCACCTTACCTGGACGACAGGCCCCATGATGGATCAAGATTAAACCCACAGCAACATCAAAGGTAGTGGTGGTGCCCACAACAGCCTCAAATATCAGCTGAAGGAAAGGAGGTAGAGAGAAGGAAAAGAGAAATGAAAATGAATTCCTGGCAACTCAATGACTCTGCTGGGCCTGGAGACTGTCCTCTGTCAAAATGGCACCTTGTTCTGGCCTCAACAGTCCAGCCCTACTTCTTCCCTTTCAGGAGCCAAAGATCCTCCTCTAAAACACTAAGTTCATCTCTTCCATGCCCTCTTTCCAGCTTTCCATCTTCTCAGCACTTGTTGTCCTTCCTATCCCAGGGATCATGTCCCCCCCTCACCACACCCTGCACAGACACACACACAGCCCACTCTCTCCGTCTCTTACCTGCATGGGCTGTTGACGTCCTGAAGGGATGGTGATGGAGGCCTGCTGCCAGGCAGGGTTCTGAGACCCCACATGGCTCCAGAGAGAACTCGTGGCATTACCTCCAGGAGTACCCAGCAGAAGCTTGAGCACAGCATGCTCTCCGGGGTCATATAAGTGGTAAGTAAACTCCACGCAGATTGCCTCAAGGGCACAGAAGAACCTGCTCACTAGTCTGACAGGCTGCCTCATCTGGGAGAACTTGTCAGGCTTGAGGTAGATGTAGTGACGATTCGCTGGGCAAAAGGAGGGAACAGGCAAGGTGAGAAACCCTGGCAGGACATTCCCATTGCTGCTTTAGCAACTCCTTGATTTCCAAATAGGGGCCTAAGGCAGGCACCCAAACTCCCCGCTCCCCACATTGTAGCACTGTTTACTGCTCCTTTTGCACCTCTAACTCAAGAAGGCAGGATCGGAAAGAAAATGAGAACCAAACCAACAAACGTTTGTCAGCTGCACCAGTAAATGAGTTGACTGAAAACGAGATGGTAGATTTTGAAGTCTTCGGCTCAGGGAAGTGAGATGCCTGGCTTTTGTGGGGGTTTCAGTGATCCCACAACCACAAGAATCCTCAGCTGACTCTATCTATGTCATCTCCACAGCTCTGGCGACTTGGTAGTTTCCCAGTAATCACCTGCTGACTGATCTTCACCACCTACAACATCCTCTCTACCGACACTTCCTCCATCAATCATACCTGCCAGGCCCATAGCTGGGAGCAGATTCAGTGATTCATTGGCTTGAGGGGTTCTCAAACTCCTCACCTCCATTAGGGGAACCTCCAGAGGGGCCTGTGCCCTGGGTGGAAGTATTTCTACTTCCCCGGGTCCAGTGTCCACCATCTCTGGATACCTGCATCCAGTCACAGAAGGGATGGGCATCATCTTCAAAGTCACACTGAGGAAAGCTCTCTGAAGGATCAAAATGGGAGATTGCAGAAATTTTGACCATGCTCTCCATTCCTACCCCACCTCACCCCTGATTCAGAGACAATCTGGGCCTCTCAGGGCCCTGCTCTTACCTCCACAGGGAGCGATGGTGATTGCATCCACAGCCACAGCTGGCTCTGGGATTGCTCCAAACACACCCACTATGATGAACTAAACAGAAGGAGAGTGGGCCAGGAGCAAGCACACAGTCCAAACCCCCAAGCCTCTGGTCTGACAACTCCATTCTGAGAGCCAGGCACCCTGATCCCCATGCCCAGACCCTCAATTCATTTCAACACTGGGAGCGCCTGCCATGTGCAAGGAAACCGACCCCTTGTTCCTCTGTACCTGTATCTGCCCCTGGCTTGTATAATTGACAGAAACGGGCTGCCAGTTGGGTCCAGGCTGTCCTGAGAAGAGAGTGTGTTTCTGGATGCTGCCTGCAATGGAAGGAATCAGAGAGAGAAGTAAGATTAAGGAGAATGGGAAATGACTTCAAATCTATCCCCAGAAGGTCAAGTAGCAGAATACCTGGGGTATCCTCCCCCAAATGCAAGCATACCCTTCTTACTGTCCTAGCACCTTTATCTATTTTTCCAGAATCCAGGGTCCCTCCAGCTCCCCAATTCCAATCTATGGAATAATCTCTCACATATTCCATACTTCTCTAGACCCTGAGGGATGCCCCATGTTTCCGCCTCAAGCCAGCCTCGGGAGATGGGCCTCAGAGGTACAGTATAAATCCCGTGAGTTCCCCGCTCTAACCCAAGGGTGCAGCCTTGACCATGAGGGCTGCACCGATAGCCCGGGCCCGGAGGATGTAGTGGAAGGAGAGGCTCAGACAGCCAGAGGACTCGCTCAGCGGGCTCAGGAGGATTGATTTCTGCCCCGATTTTGCATCCTTGGGGTCCAGGAGCATGTAGGAGCCATCTGGGAAGGAAAAGAGAGACAGGTAAGGTGGGGTGTCTGGAGTTGGCGGAGTACGGCAGCAGGGACAGGGATATGGGGGCATCTGGCTCTAAGGAGCCCCAACACCTGCCCAGAGGCAGCAGCGCTGAGGAACCTACACCTGCCTCACAGACGGATTGAGAGTCAATCCCCCCGGAAGTGCATGGCAGGGCTGGGTAAGGACACAGGCACCACCATGTACAACGCGGACCTCCTCTCAGAAGCAGCAGCTAGAAGGCCCTTGTCCTTTCAGTTCTGACTTTTTTAGGTTCCCTAAAGTCAAAGGAAGGAGCCCTGGTGGTGCAATGGTTAAGTGCTCGGCTGCTAACTGAAAGGTCGTCAGTTCGAACCCACCAGCCGCTCCGCGGGAGAAAAGACCTAACCATTTGCTTCCCTAAAGATTACAGCCCAGGAAATCCTATGGGGCAGTTCTACCCTGTCCTATAGGGTCGCTATAAGTCCGAATCTACCGGATGGCACACAACAAGAGTCAGAGACTCTTCCTTTTCTTGCCCCACTGGACATAGCAGATTCACTCACACAAAGGCGTAAGGGCCTGGCGTATACTGAAAAGTGCCCCCGCCCAGACAGCCAATCAACCTCGACCTTGCTCCCTGACGCAACTGGTAGCCAGGGCTATAGTTTAAGCTGCCGCTGCCACGTGGGAAGCGCCCTAGCGCGCCAGACAGCGCTTGGCCCAGCTGTGTGAGCGATGTGCGTGAGGCACAAGGCAGGGACGGTGGCCAAGGGAGGAGAGAAGAGAAGAAGGCTGAAAGAGAGGGGATGGCGGGAGTGGGGAAGAAGAGAAAGGAGAGTAAACAACTGGGAAAGAGGAGGGACGGGGAGCAAAAGGAAGTGGTAAAATGGTGAAAGAGAAAACAAGGCGTGGTGATGTTGGCACGGATGAGAAATGGGAAAGAAGGGGGAGGAGAAGGGAAGGATACCAGAATATAGGGAAGTGATCAAGGTTGAAAAGGGAAGGGAGAGAAAGGGAAAAAATGAAAAATCAGCCGACACTGGAACTCGGTGCTAAATGCTGGGGAATGCAGAGATGGCCTGGGGGCCTCCTTCCAGGGGCATAGGATGAAAGTGGGGTGGGGGAGGGCTCTCCAGACCTTGCAAGAAGGCAACCCTCAGGCGGCAGGAAAGATCCAAGGAAGGAGGGCATAGAGTTGGCGTGGACCGAAAGGGCTTATGGAGTGGCATGAGAGAAAGATGGAGAAAAGAAAATAGGAAAATGAGAAGGTGAAATGAAGGGAGAGGATTGAGAATTGAGAAGCACAAAGGAAGAAAGAAGCGATATGGACAAGGAAAGGGAACTAGGGAGCCTGATCCTCTACGCGTGAGCCACAGTGTTGTGTGGGAAAGGATTGACGGAGGAGACGGATGCTGTGTGGGAGAGAAAGGAGCTGACGAGCGGGGAAGGGAGGAAGGAGGGAGGAAAAAGGGAGGAAGGAAGGAGGAAAAAGGAAGGAAGGAAAGGAGAGGAAAGAAGGAAGGACAGGAGGGAGGGGTCAATGGTAGAAAGCCTGGCAAGGGTACAAGAAGGAGGTGAAAAGGAAGCTGGGGATAAACATGGGTGGAAAAGAAGAGGCAGAAAGAGTATCACCTGGATTATTGCAAAATCCTCCTAAAGGACCTCCCTCCATCTAGCCTAGCCTGTACCCTCCAGTGGATTCTCAACACAAAAACATGGTGATCCTTTTAAACCTAAGTCAGATCAAGTCACTCTTCTCCTCAAAGTCCCGCAAAGGCTCCCATTCACAGAGTAAAAGCCACAGCCCTGACAGTGGCCTTCAGGGCTTCGCATGATCTACCCCTCCCATGATGCCTCTGAGTCCATCCTCTATCATGCTCTCCTTCACTCATCCCATCCCAGCCACCCTGGCTCCTTGCTATTCCTCAGACCCTGCCAGGCCCACTGCTGCTACCTCAGGGTCTTTGCATGGCTGCCCCCCTGCCTGGAATGCTCTTCCCCCAGATATCTTCATGCCTCACTCCCTGTTATGGATTGAATTGTGTCCCCCCCAAAAATGTGTGTCAACTTGGGTGGTCCGTGATTCCCGCTATTGTGTGATTGTCCACCATTTTGTCATCTGAGTGATTTTCCTATGTGTTGTAAATCCTACCTTTATGATGTTAATGAGGTGGGATTAGCAGCAGTTGTGTTAATGAGGCAGGACTCAATCTACAAGATTAGTGTTTTAAATCAATCTCTGTTGAGATATAAAAGAGAGAAGCAAGCAGACAGACAGGGGGATCTCATTACCACTAAGTAAGAAGATCCAGGAGTATGCGTCCTTTGGACCCAGGGTCCCTGCCATGAAAAGCTCCTAGACCAGGGGAAGATTGATGACAAGGACCTTCCCCCAGAGACAACAGAGAGAGAAAGCCTCCCTTTGGAGCTGGTACCCTGAATTCAGACTTCTAGCTTCCGAGACTGTGAGAGAATAAATATCTCTTTGTTAAAGCCATCCACTTGTGGTATTTCTGTCATAGCAGCACTAAATAACGAAGACACTCCTTCACCTCCTTCAGGTTTTTGTGCCAATGTGACCTGAAAGAGACCCACTCTAACCTACTCTAAAATTTGCAACCCACTCCATCCTTGTGCTCCCAATCCGTTTACTTTACTCAACTTTTTATTTTTCAACAGCACTGCTCACCTTATGACTGACTACGTAATTTACTTATTGTTTCAGTAAACAGACCTGTTTCGTACACTGATGTATCTCAAGTGCTTGGAACATTGCCTGGCACGTGTAGGTGCTCAATAAACGTTTGTTGAATAAATGAATGAACGAAGGAATGAAGAAAGAAAGGTGCTAGGAAAAGGAGGCGAGGGGCAGGCTGTGCTGGGTCTGCCAGGTAGAGTCTGCAGGGTGGCAGTGGTGGGAGCTGGGTATGGGCTTGGAGGTTGCTTCTGCCTTGAAACTTGTGCTAATAGAGGTTTGAGGTTGCTAGGTTTCTCCCCAGACTTCCTGAGGATTACTGTTGGGTTGAAAAGCAAACATCGTATGCTCCTGCATAGGTCACTCCCTCCTGTCCCGTTGCTGTCAAGTCGATTCTGACTCATAGTGACCCTATAGGATGGAGTAGAACTGCCTCATAGGGTTTCCAAGGAGCGGCTGGTGGATTCAAACTGCCGACTTTTTGGTCACTAGAAGCCCTGAACTGCAGGTCAAAGGATGGAAGCATGACCGTTACTCACTACCAGGCCTGGAGAAGTCTCCCACAGGCCCCACGTTGGGGTCCCCCGATGACCCCGTCTTCTGGACCCATTTGGCCCCAGTGGGGGTTGGGATCCAGCTCCAGCCACAGAGGTCATTTGAAGTGTCAAAGTTGCAGGTTTGCATCACACAGACTGAGGGGAAAGAAAGGAGGGGAGGACTTAGCTCAGTAAAGAATGCCTCCATCTGGAGTTGGAATACTGAGTTCAAATCTGGGTCCCGTTGTGAGCCTAGCGAGCTTTTGAGCAGATATGGCCTCCCTGCCTACTGGCTGTATTCCTGGTGCAGGTTACTTAACCTGACTAAGCCTCAGTTCGTCATCCGTAAACTGGGGATAACAGTGCCCACCTCATCGAGTTGTTGCTAGGTGTAAATCAGATAATATATGTTCAGCATCTAGTATTGTGCTGGTGTTCAATAAGTGTTGGCTCCTTTCACCTAGCTTCTGGAGTTTCTTTTGAATTCCCTCCCCGTACATCTCTGACTTCAGTTTAGAAAGCTAATCTGGATGGATGTGGGGTACCAGCTAGGGTGGCCGAATGTTCCAGTTTGCCCAATGGTTTCCCGGTATGCAGGACTTTCAGTGCTAAAACCAAGATAGTTCAGGGCAAACCCAGACAGCTGGTCACTCCACAACAGGGATCAGTACAAGCCTATGTTAAAGCAGAACCTCTCCAGATGTAGCTGCTTGAGGTGTTGAAGGTGTGGGGTGTGGAGAGAGAGAGGAGCAGGTAGCCCCAACTCTATGAGAAACCAGAGTCATGGGCCCTGAGCTACTCCTGCCACCCTGGGGCACTGGTGGAGGTGGGACAGGGGCTTACCCTGATGGCAGGCGCCCTGAAGGACAGAGAGGGCGTCCAGGGCGATGTTCAGGTAAGCGGTGCTTCCCCTCACTGCCTCAAACATCAGCTGCAGGAGGAAGAAGGGCCACCAAAACACTCTGAGCCTCTTGGCCTGGCCTCCTGCCCTCTGCCTCTGTTCCCAGGCTCCTTCCTAAATTCAGATGGCCCTGCCCCCAGCGCCCTCTCCTTGCTGCAGCCCTCCCCAGGCCCCCCAACACCAAGATTCCCGCTGGGGCCCCTGGCTTTGCCCTTGACCTCACCCGGCCGGGCCGGGCAAGCCCCGCGGGCACGGTGACGGCAGTGGGCATCCAAGAGGTGCTCTGGGTGTTTCTGTGCTTCCAGAGCAGGCGGGGGCGCCCTCCCTGGGTGCTGGGGAGCAGCAGCAGTTTGAGCTGGGCACCCCACGACAGCCCGAACATGTGGTAGGCGAAGTGCACGCACAGTGGCCCAGCCTCCCAAACGGTGGGGCTGCGCAGGCGGGCCACCCCGCCCTGGCGGAAGGCGCGCGGGTCCATGTGCAGGTAGTAGCCCTCTGCGGGAGGGAGGCAGAGTGCAAGCTTGAGGCCCGCCACCCTGAGGGTGCCCCTCCCACCCCCAGCTTCCAGCTGCCCCCTCTTCCCTTTGTCCAGATCTGCCAGCGCCCAGCTCCCAGCTCCCTCGCCACCCACTCACTTTCCTCCCTAAACCAAAGGGTTACCACAGGCCCCTCACCTTTGTTGGGGTACCCCCCAGGGGGCCCAGTGGTGTCATTGTGCTCGGACCCCTTGGTTCGAGTCCAGTCCCCATCATCTGCAGACACTTGGGTCCAGTTGCAGAGGGGGTTAGAGTCATCCTCAAAATCACACTGGGTGAGAACAGCTGGAGGAAAGAGGCGCTGTGAGGCCAAGGGGAAGGGAGAGGGCAGGTGCCAAGCTCCACTGGGGGCTCTTAGGAGGAATTCAGGGCTGGAGGGTGGGGTGAGCAGAATGACTAGGTCAGAGATCAAAAAATAGAGCCCAGGGGGGCTGAGTTCAGCTGGGTGGACAGGCTTTGCCTGGGCAGACACGTCTGACTGTTGTTTTTGAATAGTTCCCCATATTTCCTACCACCCCAATCATCTAAGGTGTATGTCATTGTCTGTGCCCAGGGCACTTGGGGAGGCCTCCCCTGAGCTCGGGACTTGGCGGGAGGTAAGGTCTGAGTTAGTTTCCAACTCACAGCTGTTGCCAGAGCGGCGAACCACCGGCTTCCAGTCCAGAGGTGTCTCTCTCCTTGGGGTTGATTTAGAGAAGGAGAAAAAGTAATACTTGTCACTCTCAAGAGTTAGAGGGCTGGACAATTGTGAGCTTTTTGAGTGCTAATTTGTGTGTGAGTTTTCTTTTCTTTTTGTTTGTCTATATTGTGTTAATGTGCTAATGCTGTTGAGTCTGACTCATAGCGACCTTATAGGACAGAGTAGAACTGCCCCCTAGGGTTTTCAGGGCTGTAATCTTTACAGAAGCAGATGGCTACATCTTGCTCCAGTGGAGCTGCTGGGGGATTCAAACCAGCAAACTTTTGGTTAACAGCTGCGTGCTGTAACCACTGCGCCACAAGGGCTCTTTCATGTTTTATGCAGTGAATATTTATTACTTGTTTTCTTTAAGTTTTTCAGAAAGGTCACCCACAGCTTCCTCACTTTAAATTCTTATCGCTCTCCTAGAAAGTGGCCCCTCTGAGCTCCGCACATCCCCCCAGGTGCCCTGAATGTCCTGATCATCAGTCTCACACAAGGAGGGACGCATCTCGCCACCTAGAGGGATTCTCATGAGGTATTTAAGAGGCTTACACCCTGGGGAGCTCCTTCTGTAGGGGTTGAGCTCTTTTTTGAGCTATAACCCAAAGTTTTCCCCATAGAACAAGGACTATATCCATCCCATGTTGCCAGGTGGGTGGTGGGTGTGGTATTTCATCCGCTACATGCAAATGAACATATAATGCATAACTTAGAGGAACTAGCCCCTGGCCTCCCCTCATCACCTTACGAATTCCACAGAGAAGCCGGCTGCCCCTCCCCAGGTGGTGTGGGCCACATAGAATAGCCCTTTGTTTTATTTATTCAAGTTCTCCTTGTTCAAATTCCCCCAAACAAGCTCCAGGACACCAAGCCATCTATCATTGCTTGCTGCCTCCTGCTTGTAGTCTCTCTTATCACTGGGTCTAACCTGGGCTTGTTCATTTTCTTAGCGCTTGAACTCTCTGTCCTCCCCTCCCATCCTCAGACCTGCCTCCCTGCCTCTGACCCCTCCCTTGCTCCTCGTGTTTCAGCTGTCCTGGCCCCACTGTTTCTCCCACCCAGAACCTGCCCCTCAGATTCAGGCTCTCGGACTGTGGGGCTCTCCCCATTCCTGTTCACTGGTCCTCTTCCCCTCCTGTGGGCTCCCTGCCCTTCTCCCTGGGGCTCTGCCTTCCTCCAGCCTTGCCTCTGCTCTTCCTCAGAGCCACCCCCAATCGCAGTCTGCACCTGGTTTATCGTTACTCCCCGAGCCCCGCTTACCAGACAGGGGCAGGCTTGTGGCCCTGGCCCCAGGCAGCCCCCAGCAGCAGCACCAAAGTCCAGACTGAAGGCGCCATGAGGGACCTCAGAGACAGCTCTCAGGGGAGAGGGGGAAGGGCACAATGAAGAGCCTGGGCCACTTTTATCTACCCCTGACCCTCCTCGCTTGACATCCCTCCCATAATGCCATGGAAAATAGACAACTAAGAAAAAAGAAAAAGCTCTGGGAAATTAAAGCTTGACAGTTAAAATTTAAAGTCCAATAGGAGAGTTATATATGAAATCAAGGGAAGAAAAACAAGAGAGAGAAAGAAAGGGAAAGAAATTGAGAGAAAAGAGACTTGGAGGATCAATCCAGGAAGTCTAACATCCAATAAAAAGAGTTCAAAAAAGAAAAAGAGTTCAAAAAAGAAAAAGAGAACAGAGGAATGGGAATTAGTTTTAAAAACTACTAGAAAATGTCCCGGAACTGAAATATACAATCCATTAAAAGGTGGCTAGTACAATGAATGCAAAGCGACCCATGGAAGACTTGATGAAATTTCAGAATATCAGGGGTAAGGAGCAGGTCCTAAAAACTTTCAGATAGAAAAGAAAACAGGTCACATACTAAGGATCAGGAATCAGCATGGCAGCAGGCTTTTCAATAGCAACCACGGATTCTAAAGGACAATGGAATTTTGCAGAATTCCAATGGAAAATCATTTCAAACCTAAAATTCTGTAGTTGGCAACAGAGGCAAAGGCGACTGAAAGGTCTGGTAAAGTGAGGACTGCAAATGTCTATTGGCAAAGATTTCCAAGAGACAAGTCACAGAGGAAGAAATAAAATAGCCAGGAAACATTTAAAAAGATGTTCTGCTTCACTAGTAATAAACCAGTTGCCGTTGAGTCGAGTTAATTCTGACTCACGACAACCCCATGCGGGTCACAGTAGAACTGTGTTCCATAAGGTTTTCAATGGCTGGGTTTTCGGAAGTAGATTGCCAGTAGTAACGGAAATACTAATCAAAACTACAACGGTCCCACTGACAAAAATTGAACAGATTGATCGTATTGAGTGTCGGCTGGGATGCAGGTAGACACACGCAAATACATTGATGATAAGACTATGTGTTGGTGAAAACTGCTTGGAAGTTTGGAAGGCAACTTGACAGTGATCATTAAGCTTTCAAATGTGCATATCTTTTGACACAGTATATTCTTTCTAGGAATCTTCCTACAGAAACACACGTGTGTTCACACAAAGATGTACCTTAGAGATGTTCGTTGCAGTATTGTTTAAATAGGAGAAGAAAAAAAAAATCGAGATTACCCAAATGTTTACCAGTAGATATATGATGGAATCATATTCCCCTTGCCGTTGAGTCAATTCCGACCTGTGGCGACCCTATAGGATGGAGCAGAACTGCCCCACAGGGTTTCCAAAGCTGCAACCCCAGTGGCGTGGTGATTAAGTGTACGACTGCTAACCAAAAGGTTGGCAGTTCGAATCCACCAGGTGCTCCTTGGAAACTCTGTGGGGCAGTTCTACTCTGTCCTATAGGGTGGTTATGAGTCGGAATCGACTCGACGGCAATGCGGTTAATCTTTACGGAAGCAGATTGCCACATCTTTCTCCTGTGGAGTGGCTGGTGGGTTCAAACTGCTGACCTTTCATTTAGGAGCCCAGCACTTAACCACTGTGCCACCAGGGCTCCTTTGAATCATATAATATTAAGGCATATTATTCATATTAAGGAATATTATGCAGGTATTAAAAAGAATGGGGGTAGATCCATATATTCTGATGGTGGAAAGAACTTGTAGGCATATTATTAAGTGAAAAAAGCAGGTCACAGAAAGAAAACGTTTATAATATGCTGCCATTTATGTAAACTCCCACAGTAAAGGTAGGTATTTAGGTACATATATTTAGGTAAAGATATAGAGAAAGGACTAGAAGAACACACAGCTTAACAGTGGTTAAGTGGTTAACAGTGGTTACCTCTGCAGAGGGGCGGGCCTGGATTTTCATGTGACCTGCTTATTTATGCATTGTGTGAATCTCATACAGCAAGAATGTGTCAGTGAGTTCCTTGTGTAATAAATTTGGGATGACATTAGAGACCTTAATGAGAGCCATCTGAGGGGCTTGGCTAAGAGGAAGCCAGCCTGGAAGGTTTGAGGAGAAAGTGGAAGTTGAAGGAAGGGACAACATTTTAGAGCTATTGGCTGTGAAGGGGAGGAGACCTGGAGAGCAGATACAGAAATTGGGGGCAAGGTAAGTTTTCTTTCCAAGGTGAGAGAAATTTGAGCCTGTGTAAATGTACACGGGAAGGGCCCCAAGGCTAGAGAGAGATGAGAAAAGAGCTCCTGAGAAGGTGGGTGGAATAGTCCAGAATACAGAGAGCAAGAGGGAGCAGCCAGTGGCACTGGAATGGAAGGGACTGGGGAGGGGACCGTGCAGGTGTTATCTGTGAAGAAGGAGGCGAATGGAGAAGGCACCATTGGAAAGAAGGCCATGGCAGTACCCATATTAGGCCGAGCTCCACGCCAATCCTGCAGGCAGCCAGCTCACGCCTACCTTCCTGCCTGCGCTAATGCCATCCCTCTCTTCTCCACCCCGCCCTACCCCACCTTATTCCATATTTTACAATTCCTTCAAGACTTCACTCCAAGCCAGCTTTCCTCAGGTGGGCAGACAATGACAGCTCAGATGGGTCCAGAGCTTTGGTGAGGGGAGCTTGTGGAAGGAGTAACTGACCCTTCCCTGGTGAAAGGAAGGGTTTTTCTAAAGCACAAAGCCATGTTGATTTGGCAAGAAGGAGTAGAGAGGAGCACTCCAGGCAGAGGGAATATGCAAAACTCAGAAACTTGGGGGAAGAATGGCACTTTGGGTGTGCGTGTGGGTGTGTGTGAGTCAGATATTAGAGTGGAAGAAGGCAGGGACCTTGTCTTGGAGAAGCTTGAATGCCATGTTGTTTTTAGAGGCTGCCAAGCAGTTTCCGACTCATAGCAACCCCATGTGACCGAGTAGAACTGCCCCATACTTTTGTTGTTGCCCCATGAGGTTTTCTTGGCTGTAATCTTTATGGAAGCAGATCGCCAGGTCTTTCTCCTGCGGAGGGGCTGGGTTCACACCACCAGCCTTATGGTTAGCAGCTAAGCATTGAACTGTTGTGCCACCAGGGCTCCCTAATGCCATAAGTGTTGAGAATCCCCAAAAAGTTCTTGCAGTGGGGGTAACTCGATCCCACTTGCGTTTCCAAAAAGGCAGCTCTGGCAGGTGTGTGGAGGATGGGCTCAGGAGGGGGCTGGCCAGAGCTGTGGAGCCTGAAGAGGCAGGTGAGAGATGATGGTGCCAATGCCGACTAAACTACCTGAATCTCACACCCTCATCATTGCAAATATTCTTGTCTTCATTTTCCGTGTGTGGAAACTGAGCTCTGGAGAAATGAAGCAGAAGAGCACAGTGCTGATTCCAAAGCCCACGACACCAGGGTCCCGTGCTGTGTTCTGCTGAGTCCCTCAGTTCTGCTGAGGCACCCCAGGCTGTTGGGGCATCCAAATGAGCGAGGTCACACCCCAGCCGCAGCAGCTCTGCTTTTCAGTTTTGTAAATGGCAAGTCTACATAATATTTCAACAGAAGGAGTGGTTTTGTCACCTTAAAAACTCCCATTGCAACAGATACTGGTGATGGTTGCACAACACGATTAGAGAAATTGTATACATAAAAAATATTAATTTGGTGAATGTGTTATATATATATTTACAACAATAAAAAAAAATACCATTGGCTTTCTCTGCACACACAGGGCTGTACTTAGGCTGGAGGGTTTGAGCTCAGAGTTCCCAGATCCCACTACACGCAGGGGTGCCTAGAAACCTTAGGTTTCATTCCCTTCACCTCGGCAGCCCCCCACTAACACCTCTGTGGCCAGGGCACCTGGCCTTTGCCGCTGACAAGTGGCAGAGGCTCCTGGGTCAACTTTTTCTCATGCGCTGTCTAGCCACGCACAGGTATTGAGGCGAGAAGTCGTAAAGCCCCTATGCAGTGCTGGGGACTCCTTCTGCCCAAATAGGGCTGGAGAGCGGCATCGTGAGACATCAACAGTCAACCCAGGAAGAGAGACCCTCTTCTTATGTCAAAGCCGAGGTTACAAAGGATGCCCATCCCAGACCCTGATCCCCTCTTCCTTCATAGCAGGTTTACAGAGCTCTCACCAGAGTGCACAGAGCCAAGAAATGGTTAACGCAGGGCACAGCAGCATAAGACAGTTGACCCACAGCCCCTGTAGTTGGGCAATAGGTCTCCTGAGAGCTGCTTTTGCTGACCTCCATTTGGCACCACAGGGCTGGGCTGTCACAGCTTCACTCTTGCCCAGAGGTGGGGGTTGGGAGCTGTCTTCATTTCCTAGGGCTGCTTCCCCAAATTACCACAAACTGGGTGGCTTAAAACAATAGAAATTCATTCTGTCACAGTTCTGGAGTCTGAAATCAAGGTGTGTGCAGGGCCATGTGCCATCTGAAGGCTCTAGGGGAGAATCCTTCCTTGCCTCTTCCAGCTTCTGGTGGTTCCTGGCAATCCTTGCCATTCCTTGGCTTGTAAGCTGCACTGCTCCAATCTCTGCCTCCATCTTCACGCGGCGTCTTCCCTCTGTGTCTCTATCTCTGTGTGTCCTCCTCTCTTCTTAGAACCATGTCAACCATATTGGATTTAGGGGTTCATCTTAACTAATTACATCTCCAAAGACCCTATTTCCAAATAAGGTCACATTCTGAGGTTCCAAGTGGACAGGACTTTTGAGGGGACACTATTCAATCCAGCACAGAAGCTCAAGGCAGGACAGGAAGAGCAGGGGTGGAAGGGAGCCACTGGGCTCTGCACTGTGGGGAGCCAGGAAAGGGCAGGGCCAGAGGGTTTGTCACTTGACAGGACCAGCAGCTGCAGGCACACATGTGAAAGGCCCTGGGATGTGGAAAACACCTGGGACTCATCCTGAGACCCGAAGCCCAGTTCTGGCTTCTCTGTGTGCCTTTGGGTGCTTCTTTCACCCTCTCTGGGCTTCAGTTTCTTCATCTGTAAAATAGACAG